TGGATATACCTCGTATGAGAATTAATATGTAACTTTTATGAGAAAATGTAATTTCATTTTTTAATTATCAAAAACTTGTCATAGTTTCAGCGTCATAGTTTGTGTTAGTTATTGAGAACTTGTCACAGTTTATTAATGAAATGTTCTATAAAGATTATATTTGTACAGAAGGACCTCACAATCCATTTCTCATTATTTCTTTATGTTAATATTTAATAGAAAACAATTGTTTTTTAAGGTGTTTTATTTTTATATTTTATGTCTTTACAATTATAATTAAACGGTTATAAAGTAAAAAAAATTAAAGAATATCACAAAAAGTGCAAACAAAATAAGTTGTACAGAGTACTTATGTAAGAAAACGCAACATAAAATTTTTAAATATAAGAATAATATTGTCTGTGGTCATTGCCTCTCTATATCACATATGTATAATTAACTGATTAAAAATAAAACATATATATTTCAAACTGTTTTCCTAATATAAAAAAATATAACGCATCAAAACAAATATTTTTTACTCTTTTACACTTGTTGTTTAATCGGGTACTAAGTAATAACTTTGTACTAATAGCGTCTTCGATTAAGGCAAATTTGGATCTGGGCTACTAACCTTTTTAACTTTTGTGATTAATTAAAACTAGTAACCCAGATCCAAACTCACTTCAATGGAAAACGCTATAAAATATTCTCATTTTAGTAATACAATAGTGTACCCAGTTAATGTGAAGCCTTTTTAATATTATAGCAGTTTGTAATAAACTATGCTATTTATAATATTCATGCTATTACTTTATGCTTTTTATAATATTATTTACATATATTATCAAAATGAAAATAGGACAAAAATAAAAATTAAAATAATTTAATATAAAGTTACTTAGGATATACTTATTTACTTGATACACGTATCAAAATCAATGTAAAATAGCATATTAATAATTTTTAAAACTATTAAATAGTATTAAAATAAATACTTTAAGAAAGTAACTTGCAGAAATGGGAATATAAACCTATATTTTTCCATTACGTAAGAAATAAGCCAAAAATATTGATAATAAAAACATTCAATGCATTTATGTTACATATGAATTAAGTAGCACTATATGTGTTTGTACTTCAATGTTTTTTATGCACAAAACATAAAAAATAAAAATTAATCGATTAGTACTAATCTGTTAACAAAAATAATGATTAATTTCTCATCATATTATACACCAAACCGCATAAATGCTTGACCTTATCTAGCCTTAATAGCAACATTGAAAACTTTCGGTCAGATGCATCGTATATGAAATATTTATAATGATTGTTAATTCTTCTATAGATTGCCGATGTCTCGAATATTCAACAGTCATAATATAATATAATATTTTATACATAATGCGAATATTTTATATATAATGCGCCTAACCAAAAAATTTCATATATTTATGAAAAAAGAAATGTAAAATATTTATATTTAAGGAATGGCTAAATATTTATGGTATCTGATGTATACAAGGAATGAGTAATATCGTATTTATTTCTAATCTTATAGTTTTGGTATTAAAGTAATTATGAAACTTGTAATATGTTATAAAAATAAATAATCAGTGACCATAACATGTAAACACAATAGACCTATCCATTTTAAATAAAAAAGACAATGAGCAATTAGGAAAGGAATATAATTTTTTTCCATTTTAAATAAAAAAACAATGAACAATTAGAAAAGGAATAATTTCTTTCCATTTTAAATAAAAAGAACGATAAGCAATTAGGAAAGGAATATAATTTCTTTCCATGCTATTTGTCTTATTTCTTATTTTCTTTTATTGCATCAAGCAATTGTTGCACCATACTAATTTTTTCCTCATGTTGTTTACTTCTTTGTTGCACAAGTATTTCAAACCTGGCTGCTGTTTCCTTTTTATTCTCTTCCTTTTTAATTTGTTTATCTTTCATATTCTGCTGAATATCGTCCAGAGATGTGTCTATTTTTCTTTTCTTACTTTTTTGTTCTCTATTCTCTATATTGTCTTTTTTTGATGAAAAAAACTTGCAGAGTGAATGGCTCATTTTCTGACGCAATTGCTTTAGGATTAGCCCAACCAGACTTACCAAATATTTCATATGCATCCTCTGAAGAAAAAATAACTCTATATTAATAATGTCTCTTTTATTTCATTTACTAAAGCAGAAACAATGTTGTTATTGCTGTAATATTAATAATTACCTCAAAATACGTCCATGTCTTGCAGTCATTACCTGACATAGAGTTATGATCTAAAAATTTTTCTGTACGTCTTCTTCAATCCATTGAATTTAGATTGACACTGTTGACTAGTTACAGTATATTTTGAATTCATTTTTTGCATGTCTACGGCAATCAAGTTCCATATTTTCTGGTGACGTTTTGTGCCTGATTGGAACTCTTCCCCTCGTTCCTCATATTTTTCGAGAAGTAAAAATACTAGTTTAGACGGCCATATGAACAAGGACTTTCCATTTTCAGGCTCTGTGTACAATAAATGCTAATACATTAGGAAGATGCATTCCAAAATAAATTTTATACACTATTTGAACTATATTTCTACTACGAACCATCTTGTGCTTCACAATAATTTGTCTGCGAATTAGATGAAATTGAAAGATTGATGTTTGATGTTGAACTCTTTGAAGACGAAAGACTTCGACCGCCATACAATAGACCATTCCAGCCGATGAGTATAAAAAATGTTTCGAAAAATTTGTTGAACGTTTCCAGCGCTGTATTGACTCAGAAGGAGACTATTTTGAATAAACAAGAATAAAAAATCAAAATAATAAATGCTTTGTATTTTTTTTAGACCAGTCTCATTGGATCTGGGACAGACTGTGTAAAACCGATATCGACTTCATATGTCAAATATGCTGGTTTTCCCGCGCTTACAACGTCAGTGCTCACAGTGCCTTACTTCTCGAGCATAAGCACTGTGAACACGAAAATTATGACGTCTCCTTGCTTTAGCGAGCATGTTTAAACCAATTCAGAACAGACGAGAGCGCGCAAATAGCGCTGTGAATACATTTCGGACTGCACCCCTGTATTCCAGCATATTCTTTTCTCTCTTACTCTCTATCGCTTGCTCACTCGCACTCGCTGTTGTCTGCTTCTTCAGCGCACTCGTAAACGTCTCTGGTGTCGGAAAAGCGAGATGCACAAATCTCCTCTCCTATGCGGTCTAGCATTTCTTACTTTCTTACTGAATCGAAATTTTTCGTGATTTAGACTTTATCTTAAAATATCTCCATTTAGAGACAATGTACATACACAAAAAACACAAGAACACTTTTTTTCTTGTTTTTTAAAGCCAAATCGATTGGAACTAAGTAAACCCCGATCGATTTAGCCATTGCTGAGATACAAATATCTCACTTTATTTCAACTCGCTGTCTCGCGATATATAAGCACGTCGTGTTTCTTGATTGATTCAATTACATAATTTAAGGTGACAAGAAACATGTAAAGAAAGTTTCAGCTTATACATATCAAAATAACACTCGAGTTTGCGATAATACAAGGAGGCTATTAGCTCCATGTTATTGAAACGTGAACAACCCTAAAGTTGATGAAACTTTATGCGAAACAGTAAGTTAAAACGAGGTGAGATCTTTGTATCTCAGCAATGGCTAAATCGATCAAGATGTTTTTAGTCCTAATCAATTCGGCCTTAAAAAAACAGGAAGAAAAGTGTTCTTGTGTTTTTTGTATATGTTGTCTGTAAGTGTAGACCAGGATGAGACGATCGTTTTGCACAGTTGAATCACGTGTCCTGAATGAATGTTTGCATGTCGTACGTCGATCTGCTCTATCGCAATTACTTACTCGATTCTCGTTATATTGAAATTTGCTGCCCCGAATATCTTTATATGCGAAAAAGTGGTAGTGCTGTTGTATTCATGGGAGTTGTGACATGATATAATCATAAGCCGGTATCTAATACGGGTCGAATAGCGGAATATCCAAGGGAGGAACACTATTCAGCAAGTGAGATTTTAACGATTCTATGTGCTTTATACATATTTCTATATCACCCTGGCTGTGGTTACAAATGTGCAGTAGCGATATTAGGAACAAAATACATACTGCATTCGCAGTTTCATTTTTGTCGCACATATCAATTTTGAAAAACACGCAATTCATCGGAGGAGAGCGAGTTGACTCGACGAACACCTCAGATTACGTGAATATTTTGTAGAATAGAGTTCTACTCGCGAAATTAAAACGGAGATACAAATGTCAGCTGTTCGAGAAAACTTTTGGTTTGCGCGATGATTGCACGATTATTTATATATGATCCCTAGATCGTGGTCAAATCTCACCACAGTTATCGTGTTCATCAAAAGGGCAAGTGGACAAAACAGCGCACATTGTGTTCTACCGAAAGATCCTCGGTTGAATTCAAATTTAATGTCGTGTCGACATACTGAGTGACTTTAACGCACGGATTTGACTATTACTGGATAATGTTCTGCATGTGCGATTTCGACGACAATTAGCCACCTTTACGTGTTCTCGATTACACGTCTCTCGTTAATATGTATATTTGTCCGACGAATCAAGATTCGCGTTTCGAACACAGCGATCACGTATACATACGATGTAAATTACAAGCCTCGTAGTTTAACATTGTGTCAATGCACTTATCGATGGAATAATATGGAACTTGTAAACACACGCCAAAAGTTCTCACGAGATTCTATGATCTTAGCTAAGGCAACTACTTGGAAAGAACATACATTGGGAAGCGAATATGTAAATCGCAGTCTTTAATTTTTAAAGCAAGAATAATGGGATCGGTGAATTCTGCTGGGTATTATTTCAAAAAATTAAGCAATTATGTATTGTAGAGAGGAAGAGATCTAAAAATATTTAATATTTCTTTTGCTGCCGTTGAATTTTCATGCTGTCCAAGAAAAGAGGAGAGAGAGAGGAAGTTAGGTATAATTAATATATTATCTCAAATTTCACTTGTTACGTGTATAACTCTTTATTGTGTTTGTTGAAATTACAAATAAATTTGTATAGTTTAAGCGCCGTTATTTTCACGAAGATAAAATATCAATATTGCAAACGTGTTAACACGAATCTCTTTTTCATCTGCTAGGAAAACAAATATCTCGCCTATTGCAAATATTCTTTTCTTTCTAGGAATGTTCAAGTATACGCGTATCCGAGTAATTATATATCCGAATTTATTTTATAGTTACGACAAAATTGTTCTATATACTGTTTAAAATACAGCTGATGCTTCAAAAAAAGAATTTATTTTCGGACTGTAAAAAGATAATTTGTCTTATTGAACTATCGACTGGTGTAAAATGCATCGAGAAAAAATTGTTCAAATTGTATCAATTCCAAGTCTACAATCGTCTTTGCGTAAGATCTTAAATTTTTAGGTCTAAGATGGATCTGTATACATTATTTCCGATAAAATTGATAGCGTGAAATGGTCATGATTGCGAACGATAACTCGCGAACTTGATCACGAACTTGATCGCGGTTATGATGAGAGCCGAAGTGACAGTATACAAGAATTTTGCTAATGTTACAAATATAACGAAGAACCCGCGAAAAACGTAGGTATTTTTATCATATTTTTATCCGGGGGATAAAAAAGACACTATGTGCATCGTGTATTATCAAGCGAATTCTATCATAACTACAAACCTGCGAGCACTAGTTCGCATTTGATGCGAACAAAATTTGACCCGAGAAAAAAAGCAATTTTCCAAAGCAGCGTATACTAATTTTCCTAACAAAATAATAAATAATTTTCGATATAAAATAATAAATAATTAGTGCACAACTCATTGTGCTAGCGAGTAACATTCACTATAAAATAATTAATTTCCTCGTCACGATAATAAAATCAAAACCACAGAATATTTTAGCGAGTCATTAACATATTAAGTGGGAAATTCGTATAGATTCTACTCGAGACGGTCTGGATAATTTCAGCTGCGACTTCTTCGAGACGATAGTTTAATTCTGATCTCAATGCTTCCCACTCTCTTAGAAGATAATCATTTACCACTTGAGTTAGATATGCGGGAGTACCTCTTTGTTTTTTCTTAGTCGTCATTTCTCCAATATTTCTGAATACCACGGTAACATTGTCCACGGAGAAATATTGTTCCTTGTCTTCTTCGTACTCAAATTTCGTTCCTCGTATAGTAATGTCAGCAGTGACGTCCGAGAAATTGCTATTTATATCGTATCTGCTACTTTTAAGGAACGGTATTGTAAGCGAACTGTATCCGTCGAGCTTAGTGGACACATTGACGAATGGAAAGTGCGCGAAGAACTGAATATACTCTTTCCTGTTGGCAATTCTGAAAACAACAATTCTAAGATAGTTTTGTACTCAGCTGATCACGAGCCGCGGTCGGATTCACCATGTGGATCGTCTCGGTTGACCATGTTGCTACTTTTTTTTCTTTTCAGTACGGCGAATATTGTCCGGATGTATTCATTGATTGTCGCTTTGCGCATTTTTAAAGTCCTTAATACTCTCCTCAGGTAACGTAGGATTTCTCTGACCGACAATATTCGTCGTACATGTGAAATATTGGTTTACCGAACGATTCGCCGATATATCCGTTTGTTAGATAATAATTACTTACTTGACGTTACTTATTGTGAAGTTTGATATACCGTTGACAAATGTATCTCTAAACTTCAACAAGGGAATAAACCGGTTCCTAGAGGTTATCTTATAAAATTCCATATAATATGGCTCGAAAGAGGGTATGCCCAAACGCCGAACACCCTGTGCTAAGTAAGGCCTCATCGAATCCAAGCTTTGCGGTAAGCATGTTTGGAGCTGCGATCTTGGACATATGTGTAGATTTGGTACTAACAACAAAATAAAGTGTTCTTTCAATCTTTCTTTCGCGCGTGAATCAAAGCGACGTAAGTCGTCGATCTCACGTTCGATCCGGAAAACTCGCGGTTCTCGCGAGAAGAAAAATCGACGCGGTTCGACGAATATGTAGATCGCGCGTATCTGTCACAAGATAGCCGAAGAAAACTGAGCATCATATGTGTTGATACTCGTTGGAGAGTGTTACTTTATCCGATAATCGCAGTGTTACTTACATCTCTCCCTTAGATAGTTGGCAGACATCTCCGCGATCAAGCCGCACGTTATAATGAGGAACATAAGGATAATACGCATTTTTGCCTGCGAAAAGGTCCTTGCTTCAGTCCAAACTTAACGAAATTCTGAGCTATTTCGACGTGCAAATTTATCGACAATGGTGTAACCGTGTGATTTCAACAATAATCCAGCCACTCGCGTTGTTCTCGATCTCACGACTTCCATTAATATATCTGTTCGACGTGTCGAGAGTGTATTTTAAACACAGCGATCACGTGCCGACAGGATGTAAATCACGAGTTGCCTGTTTAGCGTCGGGGCGGAGACACATTGAGAGGACCATGATAAATATGTAAACACTTGACGCATGTTTTCACTAAATTCTTCTAAAAATCTCTCTTCGCCGGACTGTCATCCGCCGAAGCGATTATTTAGAACGAAATAATCGATCTAAATTATAACATCTGCTCTTATCTTAACGCATCGCGTTAAATTGGAAACTTGAATCGATGACGTTAGTTTTCGAAAAATTAACAACTAGAAAAATCGATTCGCGTCTACATCGAGAAATTCTGTTTTGTAGATTTTCACGAGGAATGATAATGCATTGAACGAGAAAACATTTGAATAGATAAAATATATCTCTCCCGACTTTTCATAACTTCGACCCACACTGTTATCTGTTCGGGACCGAACAAGATATTTCCCGTAGATATTTATACGCGTATACACAACTCTCACGTTAAGTTAATCAAGGTTTAATATACTATATTTCAAATTTTTCCTCTAACATATATAACTGTTTATTACGTGTTCTCAAAATATAAAATGACTTCATACAATATTTATGTTACTGTATTTGCGTGATAAAACTGTCAGCGCATTAGATGATCAGCACATCGCATGATCAGGATTGCTCGATGATTGATTATGACAGAAACCGAAGTGATAATACAGGAAACATCCTCCGAACGTTATAACTTTAACGAAAGATTCACGAAGAACGTACTTTTATTATATTTTTATTTACCAAGATAAGATATAAAAATATAATAAAGAGACATTATTGACATCGTGTACAATCATTCAAATTTTGTTATAATCGGTTTTCATGCTCGCATTCTTGATCATTTAGTGCGCATCTAACTTCGTCAAAAAAAATAACGTTTTATAAATCGACATAAATTTACTTGATATGAAATAATAACTTGTGTACAATGGTTCCGAAGATTGATATTTGTCATACAGTAATAGCTTTTTCGTTATAATGATTAAGAAACACGGTAGTGTCTCGCGCTAAGTGCACGCGAGAGCGAAGTGACGTGCACGGGTCGCGAGACCAGCCGTGTCTCTTTACGCGAAGCATTCAGTTTATCCGAGGCAAGATTATCGTACCGCTCAAATGGCTAATCTGGTCAAGTTCTAAGTAAGCTCAATCGATTCCTTAGGGTCGATTTACATAATAAAACTGTCTTTATTTTTTTCCTACGTGCACTGTAAATCGAGAATTTTTAATATAAAGTCAGAATCGCTAAATTTTCATCACGAAAGAAACGTCGTCCAAAAAATGTCCAGTTGCATACCTTTCTCCGTTAGATGGCGCTACAGGTAGTAATGCCAGACATATATATACATAATACGAATACGAAACGATATACGATAAGATATAATATAATATAATGACATATATAGGTTATGTTTCTCTTGGACGCTTTTGTATTGACAAAATTATAAAGACACACGCTAAATGCACATGAGAGCGAAGCGATTTTATGTGTGAGATCCATACTTAGATCCATTTTTTGACTTAAGTATGCATCAGTTAATATTTGTCATTTAAAACTTGTCTAATTATTTATAATTTCAGATTATTATATAATAAAGTTTTATTTAAATGTTTCAGTTAAATGATACATATGTTTATCCATATATTTGTAATAGTGCTTCGACTGAAGATCTCTTATTTAACTCTGAATTTGAATCTGAATATTTTACTAGAGACAAGTTTGAAGTTGTAACTATTCATACAAGTCTTAGAGTTAGATACGCATAATATATTTAAGGCTTGTTTTAATATCATAATTTTAAAGTTGTCTCTAGTAAAGTATTCATATTCGAATTTAGAGTTAAATGATTACTAATATATTATCTGTTATAAGTGCAGAGATTTCAGGACATGCAATAATGATTAGGTATAATATTAAATTAATACATAGTAATATCGAATTAATAATATATTTTATTTTCAGGAAATGGAGACTATCTTATACATATTTTAAATGTAACATATATATATTTTATTAAGTATACAAATGAATAAACCAATTTTTTCAGCTACATTCAAGGTTTATTTTAAAAGAAAGTAAATTAAATTATTCAATCAAAGTATTCGCCGTTGCTTTCTATAACTTCAAACCATCTTTCAGACAGCTGATGAAATCCATCTCGGAAAAATGTTACGTTTGGACACGATAAAGTCGTCAAGCCATTTTCGGATCTCATCCACTGATTGGAAGTGCATATCGAACAAGGCGTGTTGCATCGACCGAAACAAGTGATAATCGGATAGAGCAATGTCTGGTGAATACGCCGGGTGCTGCAAGACGTTCCAGCCAAGACTCATTATGGTGTCTTTTGTATTGGAAGCAATGTGTAGCCTGGCGTTGTCATGCAACAATTTCACTGAACGTTCTCCTTTGCCAGTATACAGGCGTTTTCATTCCAATTCTTAACTCAAGCAGATTAATTGACGTTGGTAGCAGTCCGCAGTAACTGTTTCACCCGGTTCCAACAACTCATAATAAAGCACACCCTTAATATCTCAGCAAATGCAGAGAAGAACCTTCTTTCCGAAGCGATTGGGTTTTGCGACCGATTTTGATGATTCGCCGGGATTTATCCATTACTTTCTACGTTTCGGATTATCATAGAGTATCCATTTCTCATCGCCCGTAACGATTTTCCACAAGACTTTCGACGCTGCTTATTGAAAAGAGAAAGACACGCTGCCACTCGTTGATTTTTGTTGGTTTCAGTGAGTTCATGCGGAACCCATTTTCCTTCTTCCTGGATTTTTCCTATCTTATGTAGGCGTTTGGAAATCGTTTGCTGCGTTACTCCCAACTGTTCTGCAAGCTCTTTTTATGTTTGTGCCGAATTCTCAGCGAACAGTTGTTCCAAATCATCATTATCGCACTTCGGAGGGCCTCCAGGGCGTTGTTTGTCGATTAGACTGAAATTACCGCTTTTAAACACCTATGTGAAGCTGGCCCCTCATTATCAAAATTTGAAAAAAATGATGAGAGTTCCAGTTGCCCCCCAAAGAGTTCTAGAGTTCTCAATCGGTTTTAGAAATAGTTCTGGCGTTTTAAGCAGTCAAAAAGGCAATTGAAAAAAGAGGGGTCAACTTCACAAAACCGTCCAAATTAGCGAACTAGAACTCTTTCATTTCCGCTCGAATCGGTTCAAGTCATAAGGAAAATCGATAGAACTCTTCGGGGGGCCACCAGAACTCTGAAGAAACTGACCGATTTTCAAAAAAAAATTTTCTCTTAATTGGACTTGGAAAATTCGACATCGACGATACTTTGATAAGCTAGAACTCTTTCATTTCCGCTCGAATCGATTCAAGTCATAAGGAAAATCAATAGAACTCTTCGAGGGCCACCAGAACTCTAAAGAAACTGACCCATTTTCGAAAAAAAATTTTCTCTTAATTAGACTTGGGAAATTCGACATCAACGATATTTTGATGGGCTAGAATTCTTTCATTTCCGCTCAAATCGATTCAAGTCATAAGGAAAATCGATAGAACTCTTCGGGGGGCCACCAGAACTCTAAAGAAACTAACCGATTTTCGAAAAAAAATTTTCTCTTAATTGGACTTGGAAAATTCGACATCGACGATACTTTGATGAGCTAGAACTCTTTCATTTCCGCTCGAATCGATTCAAGTCATAAGGAAAATCGATAGAACTCTTCGGGGGGCCACCAGAACTCTAAAGAAACTGACCGATTTTCGAAAAAAAAATTGTCTTTTAATTAGACTTAGAAAATTCGACATCGGCGATACTTTGATGAGCTAGAACTCTATCATTTCTGCTCGAATCGGTACAAGTCATAAGGAAAATCGATAGAACTCTTCGGGGGGCCACCAGAACTCTAAAGAAACTGACCGATTTTCGAAAAAAAATTTTCCTTCAGCTAAATTTAGAAAATTTCTGAACAAAACCTTTTGAACAACTTGCGTCTCATAAAAAAACATCTTTTGATCAAGTTCCCCATTCCGCTGCGATAGATTTGATATCGTATTATTATTATGAATTGCATCTTTTTCCGGTTCCTCGATTATTATATCTTTAATTATATAATTAGCATTTCTGAGATGAATTTCCGATTGTAATAACTGTCTATTTTCGTCTAAGTCTATGTTTTCGCTCAACGCTAGAACTAAAATAAATTTTATATAATTGTTTAGTAATATCATTTATCTCATATGTTTTCTCCAAATACCTTAAGAAATATTATTTTACTTTTACTGGTTTACCTCTAAGGTAATATCATTCAGCAATCATCCCAATAAAATGATCAATATCTAATCTTATATACAGAGTGTCCCATTTAACTTGACAAATCGTAATATCTGGAAAACTACATGTCAGATAAAAAAAGTGGATAATGAAATTTGGTCGTCTCGAAGAGAGACACCCAATGATATCAAACTCGACCTCCTACCCTATTCCCGGGGGATGGGGGTGGGGGGCAACTTTGAAATCTTAAATGGGAACCCCCATTTTTTATTGCAGATTCGGATTCTACGCCACAAAATACGTAAGTTTCGTCTGAAACCTTTTTTTTGATTCGTGATAGATGGCGCTGTAATCGCAAAAAATTAGATTTTCTGCAATTCTCCCTGAAATGATCATTGGATTCAAAAATAAAAAAATACCTGTTCAATATTTTTAAAAATATCTTTAAAAAACATAATAGTTATTCCCCCCCATCCCCTCGGGGTAGGGTGGGTGGTAACGTTTAAATCTCAAATGAGAACCCACATTTTTCATTGCAGAATTAGATTTTACGTGAAGTTTTTATGGAAACAATTTTTTTCATTCATGATAGATAGCGTTGAATTTTTCCGAGAAATTACTTTTAGCGTTAACTTTTAGCAGGAACAACGACGAGGACGTAGTAGTTTTCTGTTCCCTTCAGGGTGCTTGTTTTAGGTGAGTCCCCTCG